CAGCAGCACCGTTTACACCAAGCCACCGTTTACACCCACCCAACCACGTTCACACGTTCAACCAACCCCCGCTACACGGCGCAGCTGGGAGTCGAACCGTGGGGGGGGGAAGGTTAGCGTGATATATCACGCTAAGAAAGGGGCCTGGCCCCCCCCCCTTGGTGTGATATATCAAGCTTTAAGGCACACAGCTCATCCCACTACCAATTGCTAAAGCAAAGAAGAACTCAGCTAGCATGCTAGCTTTCGTGATATTGTGGAGATGGATCTTGGGTGTAAAAGCGGATGATTGAATGGCCTTGAAAAAACACAAGAGTCACAAGATTAAAAATACGTAGCTGCGTACCTCAAGACAATTGTGGAAGTGGACGGTGACAATGGCCCATGGCCCCTGGAAGAAGACTTACTCTAAGAGGTAGTTTTCCACAGGGGCAGTTCCACTTGCATGGCTGCACGTTACCTGCAGGGCACTACTATGTTCAAATGTGTTGCACTAGGCCCTATGCGTTGCCGCATCTCTCGCGGTTGGCAACAAAGCAAGCAATTGAGCTGATGACTTTCTGCGTCCCAGGTGCTGGGCATCTGGCCTTAGAGCCACCCGTGAGCCCTCCATGGTCTGGATATTGAAAGGCCACATGCTTGTTCCAGTGAAACTTTCTGGGCTATCTTTGAACAGCTAGCCCCCTAGGTGCTAACAGGCGAGGGGACTGGGGGCCCGATTCCAACTCATCGCATCAGTTACACTGCTGCTTTGCCCAAGAAAGCCGAGCCGCGCAGCTCCATCCTCGCACCAGCCTGGGCTTGCAAACCATGAGGTGCCACACCAGGCTTCAACCCAATTTCTTTCCATCAAATGCAACACCAATATAATGGCTGTATAAACCTGCTCTTGTCCATCGGATGCCTTTTGATGGAAGAAAGTGCTCCTATAGGCTTTAAGAGCCATGGGTTTCTTTGCAATCACGGGCCGATGGTGGATCACACCAAGGAAAGTATTTCATGAAGGGATACGGCACCCTGTACACCAATTGGACAAGCGGTTGATACCCTCCAACTAAACAGTTGTAAGAGTTTCTCTTCCACAAGTCTGGGCCATGCTGTGACAACCCTCAAACCTAAAATGCGGGTCCTGAGTCCCAAGTTAACAGTCCTCTTCAGATCTCTACTTGCCATTTCGGTGATTCGCTGTGTGCTTCCCGTTGTTTGTGGCGCTGTCCACGCTCGTGCAGCGGCCAACGAGGCGCATTTGTCCAACTCCAGCTCCTCGAGCATCGCCTTCACGGAAGGCAACTGAAGCTTCCCATCAACCTGATGAGTCTGAAAACAAAGTAAGCAAAAATTCCCAGCACCTAGTAACAAGGGCATCGCTACTAGTAACTAGTAGCGATGCCCTTGGCAAAAAGGTCATGGAACAGCTTCCATATTGTATGCACCGACCTATATCGAAATCAAAGCCGGCAGCCTAGATGCCTCCTGTACATGTCTGTTTACGTCTAAGCGGCATCAACGCATCTTGAAAACTCTTGCAATTCTACAGCTTTTGTGGCAGAATTTGTGCTTGACCTTTGCACTCTCATTGCCCCTAAGCCTGTCGCAACATCTCTGCAAACACGACATAACATTATTTGTTTGCACGCGTCAAAAAGCTTATATATATAATATTATATACGTAGCATTGCGCGGTATATATCACACATCAAACACGAAAAGGGGATGCGCGCGGAACTGAAATGAATAGGGTCGAAATTTCCCAGTGTAGACGACAATAATGTTTGCGAAGAATGAACAACCACTTGTCTTGTCGCGCTTTGGGTGTCCCTTTGGGCAGTTCTTCCCAATATCAAAAAAGAACTACGCAACAGCAACCCTGAAGAAAATGAATGGGATCTCGTGGGTTGCCTAAGCTGTTTTCAGATCTGCACTGCGATGTTCGAGGCGAAAACCATTCCACATCACTGAATCTATGCGTCAAAAACGCCTTTCAAAATAAGGATCAATAAGGTACAGAACTAGGATGGTGCTGTGTCGGAAAGGTGTCAGATCATACGTTCAACCCATGCATCTGCAAAAAAAATTGCCAAATGCTGGCTTGGTTGACCGTGTCAAGAGAGGCCACTTTCGTCCAGTTGATGCTGGTGCACTTCTGCCACGTGGCATCCTGCTAAGGCGAGTCGGGGTGGGAACCCCACGTGAAGAAATGTGAACAGTTCGCATGTCATGCCGAGGGACCAAAAGCAAAGTTGCAACCAACATTTGCGTCTAGAATGTGCAACTTTCACTCCAAAAGCACCACCGATTGACCTTCCAGTCCTTTGGTTGTTTCCTGTTTGGCGTTGCTTCTGTCCTTTTCCTTTCAATGATCCGTGTTTTCCTTAAGTACTAGACTATCAAAATTGACTCATGGGTTCCTACTATAGGAGCCAGCTTTGCACGGCTGCAGCCTGTTTGCGGCTCACAAAGGGTACAGCTCATTCCTAGTAACAAGGACGCTTCTAGTAGCGATGCCCTGTGTTACTAGTAACTAGTAGCTTCTAGCTCCTAGTAGTAATGCCAGGAGCTACTAGTAGCGTCCTTGTTACTAGTAGCGATCGATGCCCTTGTGCATACCGCCTCTAATTGAGCCCTCCTGCCATCTTGATTTGTGGCCTTTCCTTTCCTGTCGCGTCATGCTCCTGTGGGTTGGCATCGGGTTCAGGCACAGGAACTGAATTCATTCAAGCTGCAAGTCTTGCGTGGATATGGCCTCTCCAAGAGCTTGCTGCTTCTGGGCGGGGGGGTTATTGATCCAGGACTGGCATTTGGAGCGTTAGCAAGAGTTTTTGGATGCAATTTCAAGAGACAGAAGGGAACATTCTAAGCGGACCGGCCACTCACTATTAATATGACAATGCGGGTCGTCCAAATAAATTGTTCGGAAAACTAACCTTGCGCTGGCCTTGGGCAAACCTTGCCTGCTTCTAGTATAACGCGGGCACAGTATTTTTGTGACTTATGAACTTATGAAACTTATGCGTTTTGAGATGCAACACTTTGCGCTCATACTCCCGCAACAGCATGGGAACCAACCTCCTCAAAAGAATGGTTTGGCAAGGCAAGTGCGCTGGAATGGTTTGGCACGGACGGCTCTCTGGTAGACAAATCTCAGGTTGCCACTCTGAGAGCCATTGCAGAAGAAGCTGGTTCCAAAAAAACAGCATGGCCCGTCGCGTTTTACGATGCTCTACGTACATGTGTGCAAACGCGTGGAACTTGCGTAAACCTTCCCAGTTCTGGCCAATTTTCTGAGGATTTGCGCTCAACATGCGAGGCTCAACTACTCTGGCTAATAGGTCCTCATCCCCATGCTGCAAACAACTAAAATTAATCGCAGGCCCTTCTGCAGTTCTCTTTTCTGTGAAGGCACTGAACCCATCCAAGCTTCACGAATCTGAAAAGGCAACCACATATGACATATGGCATCATATGTGCGACGGTCAAAACTCCTTCTGTGTGGTAAGGTCATGGGTGTTGCCTTCAAGGGTGGCATCGCTACACATAGCCAGCAATCTTTTTGACTTATCGCCACTTGGTGGGAGCACTAGCAACAGTAGTAGCAGCAGTAGTAGGAGTAGTAGCAGTTGTAGTAGTAGTTGTTGTGGTGGTGGTAGCAGTAGTAGCAGCAGCAGTGGTAGTAAGTAGTAGCAGTAGTCTGGCGGTGTGCAAACGATCACTTAACTGGATTTCGGGTATCGCTTGAGGTATCCCTTGGGTATTGCTAGGGCGTCGCCGAGCAGCTAGACAATTCGGAGAAGTCAAGGATGTCATCTATCTTCCCAATTGTCTATCCCATCCAATCTGATCTAATCCAAGCTATTAGGATCCATTAGGTATCTTTCGATCCTCGGGTATGGAAACCGGCTGCGGTTCACACTGCATTGTTGCAAATCGCTGATGATGGTATTACCATGTTATCGCCTCTTCAAGGGTGGTATCGCTACTCAAATGGTTTATGATACCGCAAGGCGGCCGCCCTATTGAAGTCCATCGCGTGTTCTGACATGACCACAATATGGTCTCAAAAAAGCCCGGCTGTGCCACCTTCTCACATCAAACATGAACACAAAGCTCTGGTCCTCTTTGATATCGTGAGGCAGAAAATTGCCAAGGCCGGTGACATTTTCGAATGCTTTGTTGATCTTGTGGATTGGGCCTGATTTCTGTGACCAGCTCTTCAAATACGTTCCGGAGCCCTTGATGTCGGAGAAGGCCTTCCTCATTTTGACACCAAAGCCCCCAAACAACGCCACACCGCTACGCTACCTGATCCCGCAAAGGAGATCACGTGCGGCACCTCCCGCGGGGTCTTCACCTCCGTTCTTTAGGCAAAAACACACAATTCACATCCCCAACTAGCGTTTCACGGCTTGATCACTTTGGGAGTTTCACATCTCCTAAATTGGCGTTCAAGATTCTCAATCAGGTTGGAGATTGCCATCTTCTCATCCGTCGACATCTTCATATGCAGCTGATCCATCTGCATCAAAACACTGTCATCATCACAAGTCCCTTCCGTGCATTCCGCACCCAGGACGTTGCCAAGACTGTAGCAGGCTGTGATGAGCGCAAGCCGGAACGCCATCGCCAATACAATGCGGAGTTCTTTTTGAGAGATTTCAAGTACAATCCTAGATTTTGAGCCAAGCCAAGTGCCGCAAGAACTGCTACGCTGCTACATCCTACCAGGAATTTGATGCTATGGAGTGTGTGCAACCTCGATGTACAGTAGCAGCATTGCGCCATTCCGACATGAAGGAGGAGTTGAAGCTCTCCATGAGCCTCCAAACATGGAAGTGAATAATATACACTCGCTGGTAGGGAAAAAGAGTCTGTTGGCAGCAGGTGAATCCGCTTCCATCCTTGTTGAAGGGAGGGAGGCCCAAACAAATTGGGTAACCGTATGCAACCGCGTGCAACTTTCTCTCTCTCTCTCTCTCCCTCCCTCCCTCCATCCGTGTCAGTGCCTCTTGCTCAGCCACCAGGGCCTGGAAAACGAGTGGAAATCTTTACTGAGTCTCAGGGTCATGAGTGTCATGAGCCTCCAGGACATCGACAAAGCTACATCAACAAAACAAGAACAACAGTTCATGAAGCTTTTGTGTCACCCTACCTGCCCTGCCTCCAAATATTGAATCTACAACTACCCCCCCTTTTCCTAGATGCCATGTTTATTCATTTTCCACGATGGTACTTGTAGGAGGGGGCGGGTCATGACATTTGGCAATTAGAATAAGGATGAATAAGGGATACATGATAATTTACATGATAACGTCCTTGTTCCTAGTAGCGTCCTTGCTCCTAGTAGCGATGCCAGGAGCCCCTAGTAGTGATGCCCTTGGCCCTTGTTACTAGTAGCATCCTATACATCACATGAATCGTCGAGCCATGAAATGCCTTTCGTTGAAACCCATCGACCCGGCGACGCAATGCGACGCATGTTTTGCTCAGTGCAAGTCGCTCGCTCCAGTCTTGAAGCAGCGCAGTCGGCGCAAGGTAGGAAACAAAACTGGTTGGAGAAAGCAACACGAAAGTCTGGCACAAACAAAGGCAACGGCTGTTCCTGCATGTGCTGACCCAAGTTGCAAGATGAAAGATGCTACCTGAACAGCAAAAAACACTCTGCTTCGTGTTTCCAGGTCAAAATGCAAGTGAAACCAAATAGACCATTTCTGACAGCGTTCTACTTCAGCGCTATGGTTGCCGGTTCGGCTCACATAGCTCAATCCAAGGTAATCTTGTCAGCCACCACTGCCGCACACAAAGCTCCAGTGTTCCAAGCAGGCACGTGACCTTGCAAACATTTTCCGAAAGAGCATGGACGGGGAAACGCATTGGCCAATGCCCAAACTTACTTGAACGATCGAAGTATGTTCAAACAGCTGAGCACACTGATAGCAAAACCCAGCCAGCAGAACCACGCTTGGGAATTCTATATGAACAACTCAAATCGCAAGCTGAGTGGCTGCCGGGTGCATCAGGGAATCGCTGCGTCGTGGGATACCCCAGCAAGATTTCCTTCGTCAGCTCGACGGTGGTTCCCCAGGTCCAAATCCTGTACTTGTTCGCTTCTTCATCACAGCTCTCCAAATACACAGCGTGGTTGCCTCGAGAAGTCCGAAGTGAAATCAACCACTCCGGACGGCACATCACGGCACCGTGTGACAAAATGTGACAAAACTGCAAGTTCACCCTGCTTTCATTTTAGCTTCGAAAGCCCACAACAAAACAACCGTTCAGCAAAACTAGGCACTGCGGCCCGTTTCACAAGGACCAAGCTGCACCCGTAACTCTTTGCTGGAAGGCCATAGTTTCCAAAGGCAGGAAGGCCTACCGATCCGTCTCGCTTCAAGAGTTCTTCGTCGACCGAGCCGCGAGACTGTCGACCGAGACTCTAGTCCGACTAGATCGATTTCTGGCGAATAGATCAAGTGAGAGGGGTGGTTTCAAGGTCATGATGATGGTATGGTATAGGGTATGGAGAATGGCCTGGAACTGGCAGCGATTGGTGAAATCTGAGAGACGACCACAAGCGGCAGGGTGAGAGATTAGAATGGCCGGAGACGGGACAAAGATGAGAGATGAGAAAAGAACAAACAAAGCACTGTGAGAGAATGCTTGCAAATATGCCGTAACCGCAACATCTAAGCTACAGCTCATTGAGGTCGTTGCTTTCTTGGTGAATCTTTTGCACCCCGCATCTGCTTCAGTCCATTCCGGCCCTGCCCAGGCCAAACGGAGCTCGGCTCGATGCTGGCCTTGTGATAAAACATCGCCACAAATTAGTGAGGGGGGGACCCTAAATGTAACTTACATTTTCCTTGCTTTTGAGGGTGAAACTTGTAATATGACATGTTGTTAAAAAGGTGTCAAACATGTAATATTACATTTTCAGCCCAGCTTACATTTTTGTAGTTGACAATTCACAGGAAATATGACACCTGTAGATACCCCCCCTACCACGTTCAGGCAATTTTAGCTAAGTTACATTTTCTAGTTTTTGAGCTCATATACTGAACATGTAACATTAATTGTTGAAGGCTCTTTCCCTTTAGAAGATTCCTTGCATCTCCTTTCATTCTGCATTTATTTCCATTAGGTTCCTTTCATGTTCTTTCCATTTTGCATGTATTCCTTTCGTTTTCCTTTCGTGGCGTATTCATTTCCTTTCATATTTCTTTCATTTTGCATTGATGTCCTCTCATATTCCTTTCATTTTGCAATCATGTCCTTTCAATTTCCTTTCATGGTGTATTCATGTCCTTTCATATTTCTTTAATTTTCCATTTATGTCCTTTCATGTTCCTTTCATGTTGCATTCATGTCCTTTCATGTTCCTTTCATAGTCTATTCATTTCCTGTCATATTCCTTTCATTTGCATGTATGTCCTTTCATGTTCCCTTCATGTTGCATTCATGTCTTTCAAGTTTCCTTTCATTTCGCATTCATATCCAACCATTTTCCTTTAGTTCTGCTGCAATTCCCTTCATGTTCGTTTCATGTTGCAATCATTGCCTGTTATGTTCCTTTCACGTTGCATTCATTTCCTTTTATGTTCAATTCATTCTGCATTGATGTCCTTTCATTTTCCTGTCATTGTGCATCTGTCACTGTCTGTTTCCCTTCGTTTCGCATTCATTTCCAAATAGTTTCCTTTAGCTTTGCTGTCATTTCCTTTCATTTTGCAGTCATTGCCGGTCATGTGCTTTTCATGTTGCACTCATGTCTCCCTCATGTAAAAAATCTAAACATGTAACATTAAATGCTGATTTGTTTTTCGCTTTAGACATGTCCTATCATGTTGCATCAATTTCCTTGCATTGTCCTCTCATTATGCATTATTTCCTTTCATGTTCCTTTCATGTTGCATTCATTTCCTCTCATGCACAAAATGCAAAAAATGTAACATTAAATGCTGAAGGCATTTTCTCTTTAGACATGTCCTGTCATTTTGCATTAAATTCCTTGCATGTTCCTTTCATGGTTCATTCATTCCTTTCATTTTCCTTTCATGGTGTGATCATTTCTTTTCATATTCCTTTCATTCTGCATTTATGTCCTTTCAGTTTCTTTTCGTTTCGCCTGCATGTCCCATGGGGTTTGTCCTTCATTCCGCATTAATTAAGTTCCTTTCATTCCGCATTCAGTTCCTTTCATTTTGCATTCATTTCCTTGAACTTGCCTTCCATGTTGCATTCATATCACCGTCTTTTACCACCCTAGAGAGAACAAAACATTGCACCGTTTCGTAGATGGCGCCCGCCGCGGGCACCGTTTTCAAAGAAGAGCAAATCCCAAAGAAAGCGCCAAATCACGTCCAAAACACACAGACGGTGGACGTCCCAGTTCCTTGTGAATTCTGAGGGTTTTGGGATGAGGCCAAAATGTAAGTTACAATTTGTGAGGTCAGCGTTTCTCACATAACCTAGGTGTTCCCGTGAACCTGAGGTTTTTTTGGTGTGTGGCCCAATTGGAAGTCATATTTTTTGAGGTTGACTTTTTGCTTGGTGGCGAGGCGTCATTTTGTGTATGTGTGTACATCTGTGCGTCAGGATTTTGCAAAATGACGGGAAATGTCGAAAGGGAAAAGACCTTCAGCACAAAATTGTTACATTGTCAGGAAATAATTGCTACCGCTTGGGAGGGTACCCGCACGACCAGTTTGAGCATACCACCTTTTGAAAGGCACGCAACATGGAAGGAACATGGAAAGAAATGAATGCAACATGAAAGGACATGAATGCGAAAGGAAGGGGAATGAATGCGAAGTGAAAGGAATTGTCTACAGGGAAAGAGCCTTCAGCATGTAAAGTTACATGTTCAAGTAAACTTGCGGGCGCTTGGGAGGGTACCCACATGACCGGTTGGAGCATACCACCTTTTGAAGAAATTAACAGGAAAGGACATGCCAAAATGAACAGGACATGAAAAGAAATGAATGCAACATGGAAGGAACATGAAAGGAAACGCTCAAACTGGTCATGCGGGTACCCTCCCATGAGGGCACTCAATGTAACAAGATTCGATTGGACAAGGATCGCAAAGGAAGACAACGATAGGAGAAACAGAAGCTAAACGAAGCGTCAAGGTTTCCAAGTTACATTTGTTGACCCCCCCCCTCATCAGAAAGGGCCTTCCAAAAATGTAACTTAGAGCGTCCCCACGTATCAAGTTACATTTTCCTAGACCCCCTGCCCCCCGCACAGGTATGATTCCGAAAAACGTTGCAAAATGTAACTTACATAAGCTAAAGACCATTTATATAAGCTAAAGACGATCCAGTGGATGATCCAGGTTCACCCTGATTTATCCTGAATGCTCTGATGCGTCCACATCTGTGCCGGACTTGATAGAACCCCCTCTTCAATTGGCTCCCCTTGTCTACTTCACCAACAGCATGACTGCCTTGCACACGGAGCTGATAGATGATCTCGGGGTTGGAGAAGGCGATTTGCAAAACGGTGGCATCGATGATGAGCATGTTGATCTTCGCCTTGCAAACCTTCTTCAATTCCTGGGAAGGGTGCGTGCTCGCGCATGCGAACGCGTCGCACGTACTCTGGCGGGAGGGGTCGAAGAGCTGAGGAGCCGTGAAATGAAAAAGAATGATGTCTAGAGTCTAGTCTACAGTTGCAATATTGTATAGCTGCCCCAACATGCCCTCATCGTTCAAACCTCCCCATGATTCTCAGGGAGGATGAAATCAGCCTAGGATCCTCCTCGCGGAAGGAAGGATAAGGAGGGCCGCCGATCTCGTTGAGCTGCAAGAATGAGATCTGGGTTTCGCTGGACAACTGCAGCAAGAAGTTGACATAGTCCAAAAGGATCTTGTGCTCTGGAGCCTTGGGAGGATAGCCGCACTCACCAGTGTCGTTCCAGTTTCTATTCAATCCCTTCTAATTATCCACTATCGGAGGAAGACTCCAACCACTGCCCCAAAGGAGGCGTTGGAAATCCAGTTCACCTCTCACTTAACAGGATCCCTAT